CACCTTTAGGAAACTTCTAGCTGTTTGTGGATATCTGGATAGAATAGATGGTTAAATGTACTTAACACGGGACAGCGTGATGGTCAGCATGGCTGCCTTGTAGCAGCTCGGGGGCCCTGGGTTCAGTTCCTGGGGTGCTGTCTGCGTGGAGTTCGTATGTTCTCCCTGCGTTCACTCCCGGTACTCCGGTCTCCCCCTGTAAAACTCAGCCCTGGTCTGAGTGTGTGTGTCTTTGTGCTTGTGTGTGTGTGCACCCTGCGATGGACTGGGGTCCTGCCCGGGGCGTACCCCACCTTGCACCCTTTGCTTGCCAAGGTAAGGCTCTGGCTCCACCCACAACTCTGTACTGGATAAACTGGAATAGGAAATGGGTGGATGGATATATTATCCTTCATGGTGCACTATACTTCATGGTGTACTTTCTGAAAAAAACAGGCTATGAAAAGAGTGTTTTTTGCTGTGGCGTAACGTATAACCTAATTATAAATAACAGATTTCAAAATACTGAGACACCTGATGACCTTATTGGTCTTTTTCAGTAAAGAAAACTCTCAGTATCCAATAGGAAAGTGACGGAGCTGCAAGCAATAGAAGATTAAACTACTGTAAATCTTCAGTGTTTATAAATGTATGTATTTTCTTTCATGAGCTTGAAAAATCGAGATTGTCAAAACTAAAATTTTACATTTTCCCAAAGCAGACAGATTCACAGGACTTGCTGTTATGATTAACCCAATATTTGGTTATAGCTGCAATGGTATGCATTGTGTTGCTTTGTAAACCAGCCTAGGAGAGACATTACTGGAGAGCCGGAGAATCGGGTTTTTAAAGTCTCTTCCTGAGGTTACGTCTGAGTTAATCAGAGATAAAAAATATTAGATGTGAAACAGATACTCTTTGACAGACAGCATCCATGAAATTGGACATTGCATTTCACAAACCTCCCTGTGAATCCCTATAAAATATTTTAAAGCAGTGGAATAAAGCACTGGAAGCAGTGGTATTTTAAAAATGTGCTTCTACATTTTAATCACGATGCGATTAATATGCTCCCACAATACTCAGGATCATTGTTGGTATGTTCTCTGTGAAAACCACTAATAGTAGGAATGTTGGAGGATCACATAGTCATGGTTGTGCAGAGATATAACAGATTTTTTTTTCACAAATTTGTAGCAATGTAAAAAAATAAAAATGTAATGAAAACACACAAAATGACCTCAGTAGTAATGAAATGTCTGCTATTTGTGCATATATTTATAAAAAATTTAAAACACATTTCAGAAAAACCCTTTAACATCAATATTTTAAAGTGACCATAAAATATTAATGTGAACTGTGATTCTTAAATTATTACTTGTATGTGTACCAGAGAAAGTTTAATATATATATACTGTAGATTTTGGTAGCTGTGATTTAGAAAAAAAATAACTATATACTGTAGCATAATTACTGAAAGACAAGTTAATTTTCTTTTAAAATGAATAATGTTGGACTTGATTTATCTGTCGCTATTTTTCCCTTAGCAGACAATAAGCATATGTCATGATTAATTACCATTTAGTGTGTTTCTTTGAGATTTTATTTTCACATTTAAATTGAAAAAGCAGAAATCATTGTCGGTATGTTATTTCAGGGACAACTTTAATTAAACATTACATATTCGAATTGTATAATGCTTTGGTTGGACTAAGCATGGAATTTTATCAGAAGCAGTTCTTCATACTGTACATTTATTTCAGACTAACCCCATCATTAGAGGTTTTAAAAGTGAAAAAGCAAAAGCAGTTTTGAGTAGTAATTGTAGTATTTTAGATTATTCAGTAGAAAGATGAGGGCCAAATAGCACAGGTGAATTCTAAAACTTCGTCTTTTTAAAATAGAATTAAGAGATTCAGGTAGTGGACTAAACAATGGAAATGCCTGGCTAAATGACACCAAGCATATTGAAGAAGGGTTTCCACACAGGAGTGTCTTATCCGTTAAGATGAGATCACTTTATTGGCCACATACAATTTCTTGCATTAGGAATTTGTCTTTTCACATACCCCAGCTTGCTCTCCATGAGACACACAGGCAGAGAGAGAAGCTTGGGGTCAGAGCGCGGGGTCAGAGCGCAGGGTCAGCCATTTATACAGCGCCCCTGGAGAACCTGAGGTTAAGGGCCTTGCTCAGGGGCCCAACAGAGTAGGATTCCTCTACCGACTGTGAAAATGCGAACCGGCAACTTTCCAGTCACAGGTGCAGTTCCTAAGCCACAGAGCCACCGCTCCACTCCATTAGTTAAGCAAATAACATTCCAGAATGACTGGAATCATGACTGGAATCATGAATAGCATGGCTGCAAGAAGAGACCTCAGTGACATAGGAAAAGAAAAGATGGTCAAACTGCATTTGGAAGAAAATTCAGTGACCAAGACAGCTCAACTTGCTGATGTTTCACAAGCATTAGTGTCCAAGTGACCGATTAACTGTATATTTAATTAATAATGGTGCACGGAGACTACGAAGAGTGGGATGACATACTGTATTAGGGTTGCGGGGCGCAAACTGCTCATCACAGCAGTGTATAAATGTGATATGGTCAGACGAGTCTTCCTTCACCACAAACTCGACAAATGGGAGTACACATGCGTCACCAGCCTAAAGAACTCTACAATCCTGAGTGCTTGCTTCCAACATTGAGGGGTTCTGGTGCCTCTGTAATGTGGTCGGGCACATTTTCCTGGCATGGTTTGGGTGCACTTGGAAGAAGAGGTCACTGCCAGTCGCAAGTGAATCATCTTCACCCCATGTTGCAGGCTTTCTTTCCTGCTGGGAAGGCTGTCTTCCAGAATGACAGGGCCCCTATCCACAGAGTACACGTGGTCACCCCGGGGTTGGACAGTGATGTCTTCCACATGTCATGGCCTTCTCAGTCACCAGATACCCAGTTAAGCATTTAGAGGATATTTCTGGAATGATGTTGGAAACAGTGTTTTCCATGGACTTTCTCATGGAAGAATAATACAGCACCCTGTGTAATTCGAGACTCTGGAAGGCTCTACCTCAGTGCATACAGGCCATGCTGGCCCAACATGGTGGCCCAATGCCCTATTAAGTGACTTTACATTGGTCTTTCCATTTTGTGTCCACAACATGTAGATATACAGTACTGTAGCACAGTATATAATTTGCTGTTTACCAAAACCCACAGGGCAATATTTACCTACTGCTTTGTGTTACAAATACTGTATTTTTAGGTTTATGTCATCAAGAACTGTCTGTAGTGTCTGTGGTTTGACATCTCCTTGTACGATTGTTCTATAAAGAGGTATAAATAAATGTCATTTTTATTGACCCCTAGAAATGAAGAGAATTGTTTGGATTGCTGCGTGGGTTATGTGGTATATCATCTTCATTCCTTCACTGTGTAAAAAAACAATCTTCCTTACTCCTTCTGCCTTTCACTTGTGAAACAGCTAAGGATTATTTGAAATCCTGAAAAGTGATGTAATGGAATCCGGGCTGTTGCTAACATTTCTAATCCGCTGTTGCCTTTTTTTATACACATTGAACACATTTTTTCCTTAAAAAAGAAGGTCTGTCTTGATAGAAGTAAGAACGTTGATGACCTAGCAGTGGAATCTGAGAAAGGAAATACCGTATATTATATTGAGCCTTTCCAAGTTGTCCTTACCTCCCCTAATTCCATTAAGTTCTTAATGCTTCCATAAAAATGAAATCTTTATCACAAGATCACAAATCAGCTGTTGTGAAAATGTTTGATAGTAAGCAAAAAACATTTTAGTATTTTCTGTAAGTGCTTCATCTGCTTTATAAGATAAGATCACTTTATTGGCCATATACAATTTCATGTATTAGGAATTTGTCTTTTCATATACTGTACCCCAGCTTGCTCTCCATGAGACACATAGACAGGGAGAGAAGCTTGGGGTCAGAGCGCAGGGTCAGCAATTGTACAGTGCCCCTGGAGCAGCTGGGGTTAGGGGCCTTGCTCAGGGGCCCAATGGAGTAGGATCCCTCTGCCGGCCGCAGAAAACCAACCAGCAACCTTCCAGCCACAGGCGCAGATCCTTAGCCCCAGAGCCACTACACCGAAAAAAATAACTGAAGTCCTCCGTTGATTAACTATTTGCTAATTACATGCCCTCCAATGTTCTTTTCCACAAGAATTTTGCAGTGTGTACCATATAGAGCATGAACATAGAGGACAGAGGAGAAAGAAATTGAAAAGCTGTGATGAGGCAGGAATAATCTCCGATCCCATCCGATCTGTGCCGGGCTGGGTTCACTTATAAATGTGTGAATATTATATAGCTTTTTGTTCTTCTGTAAAATGTACCACATTTCCTATTGAAACTGTTAAAACCATTCCCCAGTACCATTACTGACACAGATTTTAGCAAAGATTGAGCATGTAGGTAACTAGTACTGTTAAGAATGAGCTCTGGGTAGAGCTCATTACGTAGAAAGCTATCTTACCTGTATTCAGAGTCCTGTTGTGATTGTCCACATATTTCACACTTAGGTTGACAGCCTCTCTTTCCTCTGTTTAAGGGAAGTGAGAGGCTGAATAACCAGCCCAGGTTTGAATATCTTATTGAAAGTGTTTATCAAATCAGAGGGCTGAGAAAGATAAAAATGAGCTTCAAACTATACATTAATTGTAGGATCAAAAGTGGTTTATTTTGCCACAAAATATGTTTTATGTAAAGAGGAGAAATTATTTAAAGTAAACACATTGTCTGGAAGTGTTAGGATTCTATTTTAAAATAAAATAGAGTGTTTATATTAAAATTTAAATTAGCTATGAACAGAGTACATCCAATGTTTTATTTGTGTGCTTTAGGTCATATATTCGGCTTTCTGAACTTTAGACTCTGATGTGCATACAGTACACTTCTCTTTCTTTTGTACAAATCCAAGTTCCATCTTCAAGACATGTTCAAGACGCTCTGCTGCTTACTACATAAAATTGCTCTCGTCTTGTTACACAGTGCCTTCGGCTGTCCTTACTCGGAGATCAACATGAAAAAGGAGGTGACACTTCAGGACCGTCTCGGGGGAGAGAAACAAATCACCTTTGTCCCTGTACGTTTCGTTGCAAAAGCGAAGAGTCTGTACACTGCGGATGAACACGAACAGACAGATGAATGTAGTATGGAATCTAGGTAAGAATGGGAGCTCAATCAGTATTTAAACAGGGCACTTCAAGTCAGCATTTTTTCCAATAGATATACACATTCTGTATATGAACTCTGTTCTTCCAGGTCTTGGAAAACAAGTAATAACAAAGAGCTTATACAGTATGTGAAATGAGTTTATTCATGCTGATTAAGAGCATTGCACTTTATTCTAGGAGAATTAGAAATGTCTAATTAATATTTAAAGGTTCCACAGTTTCAAAACAGCATTTACGGTAAAACCTTCAGAAACTACTGCATGCTTTCTAAAAGTCCTTTTGATCTATCTTCAATACAGATAAAACTCTAGATTGCAGATCTAAGATTTCTGCAGTATGTTACAGATATTACAAGCAAGCCCCTTTAAGGATGTTTTTTAATTGTATATGTGTTGCAATTTAAAATGTTTCCGGTATGTCTTTATTTTTTTTGGTGTCGTCTTCATTTAGAACATGAGCTTTTTTGCTCTCTCAGATTTTATGATGTTTTATGCATTTATAAACTAATCACAGTCTGGGCCCCGTAAGCTTAAAATAAGACAGACAGTTTGAAACTTTTAACTTTGGCTATCATGTGTCTGAGGGCCCCCTGCTAACTCAAGAAAGCACAGGTAAGGAATCATACAGACAAAAGTGCTCGACTTATACAGATTAAAGGTCTGAACGAAAATGTGAAGGAGTGGATCATTATTATGAACTCTAATCATTGATCATACTGTTTTGTTCATACTGTGGGATTGTAATTATAACTCTAATAATCATTTCTCATGAAAAAAAATCTTTACTGATAGGTTCTAAGTATTTTTTTTTATTAAGTCAATCTCGATTCTACTTTCTTGTGTCAGTTACCCAATAGAGCCTCTTAGTTCTAAAGGAGCAAGATTATTAGGACGGTTGACTGCAAGGTATCCCTAGTCAATTCTGTGTTTATTGTTAGGTACTGAAGTTAGGCTCTCTAAAAATAGTAGTGAAACCTGTCAATGTGTGCCACTTCAACTACTGTATTTGGAGTGTATCTTAAAATTCAAAATGAAAAGCAATGTATTTCGTGCTCAAGAAACACAGACACCTTTAAAGCTGAAAGAAAAAATGAAACAGACGCATACCAAAAATCAACATCTGCAAAATTCTGAAGAAGAAAGAAACCACAGGTATACCCCAAGAATAGACAAGAACTCATGGTGGCTACAGCAGAGTCTTGCTAAAGCAGCTCAGTTGATTATAAAAAGATTTTGATAAGCTCTGTGGGTTGCAGACTTCATGTTGTTGCTGTTTCAAAGGAATATACACCAAATGCCGACTTTTACACCCTGAAATGTATTTAAAGTAAATGTGTCCCAATACACACAGTCATTTGAAAACACTGGTTTGAACAAAAAATATTCTTAAATCATCACTAATAAGTATTTTGCTCCAAAAATGAGTAAATGCGTGTATGGCAAAGAATAAAACATTACTGTAAAGCGAAAATTCTGATTTGTTATCTCAAGACTTTTTGTGGGCACTGTACATAGGCATCTCTAAACAAATCATACTTTATACCAAAAAGGAGCAATGATTGGAATTTTTTTACAGCAGCTGAATAGCAACAGGTCAGGGTGTTCTCATATTTCTCTCATAAATTTACAGAACCGGCATAACAAAATCTAAGTTCCATAAAACCTTTTGTTTACCAGTATACAAAAAAATATGATACCTCTTGTTAGTACTACTTTTTTTCTATCAGTCAAGGGTATATTACTGGTGTACATTGACATTGAAAATTATATAGTGCAATAATTTATGTAGGGGGTGTAACACAAGTTTTCTTTGTGTGGTTAAACATCACCACAAAGTGCTCTATAGTAAAATAAAACAAGAAATTCACAAATGAACACAACAGAATTAAAAGATGGGGTATTGACATGAGTATTTGACAGAACTTGAAAGTACGGATATGGGCTGGGAGATTATTCCATAGCCTTGCAGCAGAAACACGGAAATCGTGGCCTCCTGGTGTTCGTAGCCTCCTTTTAGGAACTGAACTAAATAGTCCAAAGAGCATAAATGACGTGTACAGTAGGTGTATAGAGAATTAATAGTTCACTGTTACAGTCAAGAGCCAGATTGTTCAAGCTCTTAAAGTTAAGTACAGTAGCAGTATTTTGAATTCTATTCTGAAAACCACCCACAGCCAGTACAAGGGACCTAAGGAGGAGATAAGTGATCATGCATTCTACTTTTAGTTAAGATCTGGATAATGAGTTCAAAATATATTGCAGCATGTGAAGCACATTTGGATAGTGCACTACAGTAATGATGCCTAGAAAAGACAAAAGCATGCTGATCATTCTAATAGTAATCACAATTAGTAACTGAAGACTTGTGTCCTCCTGTCCCATTTTCTCTTACTTTTGGAATACATTGATTCTTCTGAATTATTTTAAACACTGTACAGTATGTTGTACCTAACATCCTCCATGGAATATTTACATCCTCCTGGTCCCCATTATCCGCTAATGCCTTAATTGTTTTATGGGAAATAGGTCCATGCTTCACATTCCTTTTATATGGTCCCATTAAGGACCTTAAATGGGGACACCCTGTAATAGGAAAATAAATGGACCGAGAACAGAGCCCAGCTGGATGCCAGGTGTGTCCGTTTTTGTTGTCGAGGTACAATATCCAGTTTAAACAAGTGACTTTCTGTCAGGTTGGTTTAAACCACTACGGCACAGTTGCAATAATATCAATAACCTGCACCTTCTCTAATGTAGTCAGCAAAATGGTATGACTAGTAGCGTGAAAGGCGGCAGTGAAGTCCAGCGGGATAGAAATGGATAAAAAACAAAATCAAGAGTCGCCAGATCGTTATAAAGCCTAAAAAGAACAATTTCAGTGCCTCAGTGGGAACGCAGGCGGAAATGACTCAGACGGCTTCTGTGCAGAATGATGAGCTTGTATATGAACAGCAGCAGCCCATCCTAGACGTTTTTAAGATACTGGCTGGTGATTATTCGGCAGGCTGGAGCCTGCGTTCTGCCTTTTTAACCAGGGGATAATAATTGAAGGTTCAAGGGTGAAGGGAACAGTTCCAGCCCTTAATGATTCGTTGGTGATATGCGTGACAATGGGACAGAGAATTATGAAATTTGAACACAGTGGGAATAGGTCACAAGGAACATATGGTGGGTTTTAATTTTAGTCATCATTTCAGATAGCTACTGAGGAGAGACAGCACGAAGCTGTGCAAGGTGACTGTACGTCAGTTATTTCCCAGAAGTGAAATCAAAAGATCTGACTTTGGATTTTTTTTTTAATTTTGGATTGAAAAAAGCTGATAAAAAGATGGCATTGGACTATAACCTCTTCAGGAGTGGACTTTTCTTACCTGAATTTAAGAAGTGTGGAATTGTGAAAAAAAAAACAAGGTTTGGGGATCTTTCTTTGGTCAAATTGCCTTCCAAGAAAAGCTAACCTTGAAACAGTACAGTATGACATGTATTACTGTAGGGTTGTGGTGTTGCTTGGAGGCAAGTAAATGAGCAAATGTGGTTGTTGTACCAAGGGTAGTGGAGTGTAAATGAGACTTCTTTATTTGTTTCCAAGCTAAACAATAGAAAATTCCAACCAAAAGTGGAATAGAAAAGCATTATGGAGTCCTCAAGTCTAGCTGGCTAAGGTCACTGGCAAGATGAAATCAAATGGAAAAGGGAAAACAAATCTGATTTAGCAAAACTTATTAGTATACTTGGGTTTGTGTAGAATAACTGCAATTCTAAATCAAAACAAATGGCTAGATCCAAAATGCCCAGTTTAAAATGCAGGTCACTAACAGGCAGACCACACGTTTCTGTCAAATGTATAAAGACTAGAACTTTCCTGGTAGGAAATGAATTCAAAAGTGATATTTTGTTGGTCTGGGAGCAAGTACAAATAACTCTAATTCAGCATTATTTAAAGTTAGAGTTACTACAGTATTTAGCGCAATGTTAGGAATGTTGCACTAGAGTAACAGATTGACTCAACAACCTGCTTGCTTTGTTTAAAGTTGTACTGTATGTTATTTAACTTGTTGTTGTTGCTGCCGCTGTTCTGTGTTCATCTTTTGGTGATTCCTTAATGTCTTGGTATCGGAGCAAAAATGTAAATAAGAATTTCATTGCACTTGTGCATATGACAGATAAGATTAACTGAACAGGAGGGCATCTAAGTAAACAAGAATGTCCAGCTATCTAAAGAGAATTGATGTTGTATGAATTGTGTGTAATATTTAAACCTGTGACCAGAACCCCTTTGCAAACATCTGGGCCTCTACAGCAAGTCCACTCTGACATCCAGGTAGTACAGCCTCACAATGACTCCAGTGACTGAGTACAAGTACCCCATACAAGTGGGTAGAGAGGGCAGAGCAGGTCCAGACTTTTAGTGCTCTTTGATAGTGGTTTCTGTCTCAGGCATTGACAGAAATCCCTCACTCAGTGCGTGTACTAGCAAAACACTAGTCTTGGCAAAAAATATCAATAGCAGGGAAGCTGATAGCGAATTCACCAAGCTGGGGTTCGTCGCTCTGGCTCAGAGGCTGGTAGCGTCCAGCTGTAAGGATGAGATTGGCAGTGATCTCAGCCAGGCAGGGCCTTTAACCACAGGGTGCAATCCTGCAGCAGGAACACAAGCAGGCCAGAGCAGCTCTCACAAGAAGGCAGAGAGACCATCCCCAGCTGCTTAGAAACTTGCAGCAGGTACAGGGAGGTAGGCTAGGTCCCCTTTTCCAGGGCCATAAAGGCCCATGGGGGAATGGGGGGCAAGAGCATCACGCTCCAGCCGGCCTGTTACCCCCAGAAGGATTGACCCCCAGTACTCGTTTGGAAAGCAGGCTGAGTGGATCTGGGAGCTGTCTCGCAGGAATTAGAGCTCCATCGCTTGCCCCTACTGGGATTGAACCCGGGACCTCCCGGTCCGGAGCGAGACGCCCTTCCCATCTGAGCTACCAGGGCTCCAGGTGGAGGTAGCAATATGAAAAAAGGAAACTGATCATTCACCTGGGAGTGCTAAAAACATATTAAAGAGTGTATATCCAAATGAACACAGAAATTGTTTACAAGTAAGCAGAAGCATGATTACTGTGTAATCAATGATTACTGTGCTGCCTTGGAGCGTGGTTGGCAGAACACTAGTATTGCAGTGTAAGAGATGATCGACAGCTAGGACTATAAGATACTTCCGAGAGGCTTCATAGCATTCCAGCAATTCATAACATGCTTGTTTCCATACCGGATAGTGTATTACAGCATGTGCTGTTCAAGTTGTTGACTATAATACTATAGGTTTTCTTGTTGTAGGTGCACGGTTTCAATTAGGGTGAAGAATGGGCGAACATATTGATGTTTCAGCACATACTGTACTCTTTATTGGCTTAACATAGTTGTTCTTTTTCTGTGTACAGTATACAGTACTTCGATGCCTATACAGTGTGAGATTCATTTTGCTTGTTTCATAAAACTATTCCCAATAAAATTATTCCCACACTATACAGTACATCTTGTCCGTCTGTTCATGTAGATATACTGTAATCTTTAAGAAATGCCGTATTTATCTTTGGTTCTGCCTCCAAATCCTCTTATTTTGTACACAAAGCGATGTTTATAATTGTATTTGCTTCCCCTGCTCACTTGAAGAATTGCTGTGCTTCTGGAATCCAGATCCTTGAACTTATGAGTGCAAGTTATTAGTAGTGTGATAGATGTTCTTAATATACAATATTTGGGAGCCTTCAGGCAGAAGGATGACCTGAGAAGGGCTGGTATTGCATTTCCCTTTTTAAAGACATTTTCTTTCCATGTGGCATGTGCAGAACCAGTGTTACCTGAAACAATTCCTTTAATTTTTGTAATGCACAATGAACATTTTGACCAAGTTATTATACTGTTCATCATTACAAATTAAAGGAAAATATGTCTTACACTGTATACAGTACCTATATATATGCAATGTTTTTGTTCAGTATATGTTTTTCAGTATTCTTATTTCAAACCATCATATCAGTACTCACCCACTTATCATCAATACACACATTTTACTACACATTTCCTGATGTATGATATCTTGGCTAAGTGAATATTGAATCGTTTGCTCTTAATTTCACAAACAGGTGTTCACCATCAGGGTGTGAAGGCTCAGGTCGTTTAAGAGGGAGGTGCAGCTCACATTCAGGATCTCCGCTGGTCAAGAGAGAGCACAGCAATGATCCACCTGCTCAGGGAAATAAGCCTCTAACTCCGGCTGTTAAAAAGGCCAAGCTTCAAAGCCGGTAGGTACTGTAACAACCGAACTCTTAAACTTACAGAACCACACTGCTAGACTTCACCTTTAGAGGAAGCATCTCTCAAAACTAAATGTTGGATTTTGTCAAGAAATGTGGGAGAATTTTAGGGTTTATATTAAGAATGGGCCATAACTGATACCCCTACAGTGAGCAAAAAATACAAATTGTCTTTGACATATAATATATGTTACATTTATTTTTGGGTGAGCTGAAAAGGAGCACACTGAAACACATAAATATTGTCTCATTTTTTTTATAAAAGGGGACTTAAGTATTGCTTGAAACATTTTTAACATGGGACTTACTGTGATGTATTGCTAACTTGGTTTGACCATTATCTAACTAGTTTTAATAGTATACTTCAGTGATCATTTTAAAATACATTGAGCCCATTAAGAAGCAACCCTCATACCCTACTTCAGGGAAGTTTTCTCTCTGTATGCTACATTTACAAATTTGATTTGAGGCGTTCTGGACAGCAAAATGTTACGCAACCAAGCTTTTAGAACTCCCTGGAGATTTTCTTCTTTCATTTCACTGTAAAATTGATCTAGTTAGGCTTACGAATGCCATTATAAACGGGGCAATGCAGAGAAAAATGTGTTAGAAGTGACTGGGATCTTGAACATTTGCCTTTTGTTCTTTATGCGATTAATCATAAATCATAAAATGTTATTGTTTTCGTACTGAACAATAATGGTGATACGGGCTGGATGCTGTAATATTTGTTTCACATTTGTTGAAAGCGACTTTGATGTGAGCCAGATTGAATATGATTGGAAACTCAATTTCTGAGAATTTTACAAGCATGCGTTATCTAAATGTTTCAGAAAGGAAATCTCGACTTTCATGTTGGAAATAATTTGCAAATGATATTCTACAGTGTGTAAAGTTCATGCTAAAATATCTTTGAATTGAGTGCTGGTACAGAGCTAAACCGCTTTCTAGAATAAAGGTTGAAGCCTTAAATAAAAGATCACAGCCTCCTGTAATCCTGGTTAGCTGATATTTGGCCTTTTGGCCGCAAAAAGTTCAAGAAAAGAAATAAAATTTTCTGGTGGTGATCTAGGGCTCCATTTCCTAACAAGTTACTCAAAACAAGTAACTAGAACAAGGTCCATTAAAAGCTGTATCTAATCTTCTTTATATTATTTGAAGTTTTAAGGTGTGCCATCATAGGTAATTGTTTTTATCTCAGTATAAAATGTTTGTTTTAAAGAGGATATTGTGTATATCCTACTGGTGCAACTAATGTAATGCCTGCGTTGCGTGAAATGCAATTAAAATTGTCAGTGGTTCCACTTTGAATTTAGATTATATATCATCATTTTACATGCATGGAGATATTAAATCCAATTTGTTTTCTGCCTGAGTGTTGTTTATTCTGTGCTGTTCAGTCACATTATGGCTGCTATAGTGATTTAGTTCCAGTTCACAGGATAATCAGGCGGTATATTTTTCTCCTCTTTGCCCAGGCTTGCTCAGTCAACGAAATATCTGAAAATCAAAGAAGAGGAGGAAGATATTGACTTGCACAGTTTGCTCACAGGTAATGAGGTCTATGGTAGTATGTTATCATTGTTATTACTGTTGCAATGGGATTACATTTAAGATTTAAATTTAAAATGATTAAATGAATTACACATTAAAGAAAGCAGCATCGTTAAATAATTTTACACATTGATTTTTTTTACATTGAAGCAGAAATGTTTCACTGTGTCTCCCCTCTCTAGAGAATGTGGACTGTTATCATAATTGAAAAGCAGTGAGACATGCAAATTTCCTTAAATTGGTTTGCAGTGTCTTGAGACTTTTAATATTTATTGCCCAAGACATTTCGAGAAAGAACTCCAAGATCATTCGATTGAGGCTTCATAATCTGGTGTGATATTGTTCAAAGAATCTATCATTTTCAGTTAGTGACGCTCATCATGAGTCCATGGGATTTCATTTTCTTGTAATGCGTGTGACTCCTGTTCATCAAGTCTTTATGGATTAGGCATAACATGTTATATACAATAATCACTCATTTTAATTAACAGTTAGGAATATTTGGCTTTTATATTCAGCCAGGAAACAGAGCTAGATGGAATAAAGATACATGAATACTGTATTGGAGTATTCTTGTTGTAGGTATATATACATATATATAACTTAATACGAGCCAGCAAACAGGAAAGTACATTTTGCATTTTCTGCCTTTCATGCTGCAAAATGCTAACATCTCTAAGAATTTCTACACATACCTAGGCTTCAGACAGCAAAACTCGCCGTGTCCCATTATTTTGTAGCAGAAAAAAGCATACTTCATACTGGTAGACCAGCCAAATGTCCCTAACATTTTATATGCTCTGATCCCAGGAATATCTCTGTGTAATACTTCCCTTGGGGCTGTGACACCAAGAGTGATGCAAGCCTCCTGTTTTGGCGAGAGTAGTTATAGCAATTCACAGCAAGCCAGGGTCACATCTTTTCCTCCAGATTAATCTCTCCAGCAACATTGACTGATAGTCCCCAGAATGCAAAAGCTCCAAACCCCAGAGACCCTGCGTCCCCACCATGGTACATAACTCTCACAAAATTCATTTATTCACATTCAGCATGGAAGAGTAACAGGAAAGACCATAGGCAGGACGTTCACTCATATTTTATTAAAAACATGTTTTTTTAAAAAAAACTTTCAAAAACCGTAATTATTGTAGGTTGTTCCCAAATGTATTTTTAAAACACAGAGATTTGCTATTTCATTTTAAATGCCTAAAATATGTCTAAAGGGGAAACTGAATAAAGATTTGTTCAAATCTAAATATCAGACTCTGGAGATGCTAGAGATCCTGACAAATCTGGTTAAATTGTCTGCTCCCTTTTAAGAGGGACTGGGCCATCTTAAGAATGAAGAAAATGTCTTTCACAAACACTAGAAAAGAAATGTCAATATAGTAATAATAAATGTCAGTATAGTCAATATAGTTAAAGCCACCCTGCTTTCATTATTAATGAGGTTCTGTTAATAGTTTGGAGCTAAAGTAGTTTCAGTCCCTCTGAGATTTAAAAATTATGAGTAACTTCTTTTATTTACATAATGGACTCGTCCTCTCAATGTGATTGTAAAGGAGCTGTTTCAGCATTAAAGTACTGTATGTCAAGGAAGACTGGTATACCTTGTATATAAGGTATTGTATACATTTTGATGTGGTTTTCTTTGCTTACATCATTTTATTTTGTGATAAAATATAGAAGTTTTTTTTTTGACTGGGGGAACAAACTAAGTGCTTGGAAATCACTGCACCTTTAGATAGTTGCCTTTGCAGTGAACCATAAAAAGTGAACTCCCAGAGTTCACCCAGATTCCTCTATTTCTGCATCACATTTCTACAGGCAAGAATCACAATGAATATTGTCTCATCTGTGTATCTTTTATATTACATAAAACCCGGCATAAGAATTGTAATATAGCACTGTTTTATTTTGTTTCATTTGTTATTAGCTTTCCAGCATTTAAAACACCAAATGTAGGAATATGAAATATTTAGATTGTCAATTAAAAAACAGTGATTGCATATATAACAAGTCAACAAGAAAATAATTAGAAATACAGTACAGGTACATTCCCTGTACACTGTATAACATTAAAAGAAAAATCCTATTAACCTTATTTTTATGTTTCATTAAATTAAGAGGCTTAGAGGATTAACAACTTATAAATGAAAACATCCTGTGACTATGCCTCTCTGCCTCTGGTAAAGACGCTTCGAAACAAAAAATTATCTTAGCTTCACAGCACTTTATAAAAAGTAGGATTGTACCTGGAAATGTGCACTCTCGGGTTTGAAACCTCTGAATAGCTCCCCTCATGTGTGAGAAGGCACAAAGAAGCACATTTACTCTCATATTTTGTTGCACTTTGCTTCCATGTTGTATCTTACAAGAAATATGCAAACGTAATGCAATCCGTCCTTCGGATGTGACGTAAAACCGAGGTCCTGACTCTCTGTGGTCATTAAAAATCCCAGGGTGTTTCTCGAAAAGATTAGGGGTGTAACCCCGGTGTCCTGGCCAAATTTCCCATCGGCCTTTATCAATCATGGCCTCCTAACAATCCCCCTCTATAAAATTGGCTTAATTACTCTGCTCTCCTCCCCACTGAGAGCTGGTGTGTGGGGAGCGTTCTGGCGCACTATGGCTGCCATCGCATCATCCAGGTTTGGCTGCACACTGGTGGTGGTGGAGGGGATCCCCATTACCTGTAAAGCGCTTTGAGTGGGGTGTCCAGAAATGCGCTATATAAGTGTAAGCAATTATTATTATTATTATTATTATTATTATTATTATTATTATTATTACTGTATAAGCCAAAATAACCAGATACAGACAACTGTTTTACTGCTATTAGGACTCATCAGTCCAACATAGATGACTTTGATCAGTGAAACTAATAGTAATATATATATATAATATATATATATTGCAAGGAGCAACTTTCAGGACTGGGGGCCTTGTAAGAGCAGGCAAATTACTATCAATTATGGAAAAGTGAATGTTAATGAACTCATAGCACTAGAGCCCAGTATCGTTGGAAATGGGTTAGAGAAGAGCAGGACTGTTTCTGCACATAATTCCCAATAAGACCATTCTGCAGCTGAAAAATGTTTTCTGGGAAAAAAGGACATACTTCTAAAGCAGCGGTCAGGCATAAAGATGTGCATGTTTTTTTTTTCATTGTCATCATTAGCATGACAATTACAGTATGATGATGATCATTTTTGCTCATTTTGATGATGATTAGGATTACTGCCAATGTTTTATTGAGTTCAAACTCTGTATCTCCTCCCAAATATTCTACCTGAAGTGTGATGTCATCTGTGGTACATACTGTATGCTTTTGTTTTCATATCAGTTATTTGAGCAACACATTACTATTAATATAGAGTGAAATTCCCCAGTGTTTACTGTATGCCCTATATATAACATATTTAAGCCCTTGGGTTTACTACAGTATATTATCAAAACTCACTGTATATTGCAAACTTTGCTGTAGTATTCTCCCAGGATAGTATGTAGTGCTGCAGACTATAAGCCAAACGTGTTTATTACTAGTAGAAATTAATCTCCTCTCTATTCTACATAAAATCATCCTTAAAAGTTTTGACTCAACAGCTCCATGCTGGCATGTCAACACTAGTCAATACAAGACAAAAGCTACAGCAGCTGAATCTGAACTGCAGTCAGTAGTGTTTCTGCTTTGTAGGACTTGTAGGTATGATGAAATTAGATACGTATTCTACTCTCTGCTCTGAAATTAAAATAAATACAGTTCTCCCTGTAAGGAATTATTGTATTAACTGAATTTGACGTGCTGTAAGCTTACTGAAGAGAACACTGATGCAAGTATAGAAACTGAAAAGCAAGGAAACTGAGGAATGTAAGTTACTGTATACGAGTTGAAGTGTTTTAGTGCATACAGTACTCTAAATAAACTTTCTCTGTGGTTGGGTACTTATTTTTAGGAATTTGTAATGCAACTTGTGTGAAAGGAGTGTCTTATCAAACAGTGCTTTAAGAGACATCTAGTCATGCAAGCAGGGCAGCTTCTAGTATTCCTGCCGGTTCCGTCTTCATGACTCTTGCAAATCTTGTTTTTCAGTCTCCCACAAAGAAGCATTATTATCAATAAAAACTGTTGAATCTCGCTAATTGCTGTGCTGTGGATGGATAACCACAATCCTAAGTCTATGACAATAAAGGATACAGTCAACAAGAACACTGCCAGATGTGCTGAGCAGTATAGCACTAGTATTTTGTTATTTCTTAATTTGCTACTGAAGTGATCAATTTTTATGAACTTTACATTGAATATGATTGCTTCTTTATTAATAAAGCACTACTTTAACATGCATCTATGTTTGAATATCAATCCTGTACATTGCATCACAATATTTTGTGATTCATACATTTTATTTTGGTCTCTTTTAAGTTTGCCTTAACCGAATAATTCATGAGCCAAGACTTCCTGTTTTTGAGGTGAACATTTTGACAAAAACATGTTTTTAAAACCTTGGTAGTTGCATAAGGTGTGGTTATGTTCCCAGAGTATGTATTCCTCCGACCTTGTAGAGTTCTACATTTACCACAATATGATTATAAAAATATCAGTTGTCATGCCTGATTAATTTCACATTTCACTTGTCAGTGCCTTTGAGTATTTGGAAATCTTGAATAAGTTCTGCTTCTTCTAGTCCTGTCTTTTTAGACCTAAAAACTCTTAGTTCTTTTAGCCTGTCTGTTAAGCCTGAGGGTGTATCTGATTGCTCTTTGACTGATTCCAGAGTAACAATGGTACACAGTGTTTTGAATTTAGTCTTATTAGTGCATTGTGCAATTAGCATCCCTTGATTTAGTCTTATTTGATCTTAGTCTTATTAGTTTGTGTTTTATTGCTTCCCCACGTTGTTTAGAGGATGTAAATAATGTGTCAACATAATATATACCCTGTATGTTCCCTTATGTACAGTAATTGCTTGTTCAAACAAGTGTACTAAGTTAGTTACG